CAGCGCGGGGGGACCGGGTGGGAACGCTACGGCTGTGACTCAGCGCGCTCGCGCTCTTCAGGAACAGGATTTCAAGGGATTTCACACCCCAAACACAACCCCAGCTTTCTCTCGCTCAGCAGAAATGAGAGATCAAAAACATGCACCGATTCTGGTGTGCCTTCGGTGTGTGGACCCGTGCTCAGCTTTTAAGGTAACGGTGATCACGGTGCCAGGCCGGTAATCCGTGGTGGTAAAAGATACCGACCCATCTCTCTCCAGCTTGTTTGCATTATGCCTGTTGGACATCTTCTAAACAGGATAAAACACCCAGCAGCTCTTAATTTTTAAGCAAATGCTCATAACCTCGCTGGATCAGGCACGTGTCGTCACCCCAGGTCGCAGGCTGGGACATGGAGGGGCAGAAATCCCCGGGGCAGCTCGCTGTCGTGTTTTGGGGCCCGGGGTGTACCCCTTTGTTTTACAAGCTCACGAAGATCCGTACCTCTCGTCTTTTTTCCTTCCTTACTGCTTTTGTTCCTGCTTATGTATCTTTCTTTTCCCCCCCTCCCCAGAACCATATTAAAAGGCAAAGGTTCAGAAACTGGGAGGATTATCTCAAATTTAGAAATAGCAACAGCAACAACATAAATTGGTGAATAGACGTTACTTGCACGGGGTTATTTTTTAGAGGTTTTACCGAGACAGACATAATTAGCCAACTGGCATCACGATGCTAATAGAGATATTTACTGCTTCAAAGTGTGTTTGCAGCGCTCTGAAGCGCTCCAGTGACTTGCTTTTGTTCTGGAAGAAAGTAACTGGGATTATTCTATTTTTTTTTCCCCTTCCCCTCTGCGGTGCAGCGGAGATGGGGGACAGGACAGGACCCCATGTGCTCCCCACTGCCTTCCCTCGGCTGCTGCCTCCGACATCACAGCTTTGCCCTGCCCGTTCCCTCATCCCCCTTTTATTACCGGAATTGCCTTGATTTAACCCCGCTTGCCAGCGGGCAGCGACGGTTGGGATTGCTTCTCTAAACAACCCGCGTCGGCAGGGTTGGGGACAAGGGAGAGGGGAAGGTTGTGTGCAGGTGATGCTTTAATCGCCCTTCAAATTGTGCTTTTCCGCTAGGAACCAGCCTAGCTCCGGCTCGAGCCCTGTGCTTCTCCCAGCGCTGCCGGAGATTGCCCAAGCCGCCATGGCCCGTCGTGCAAGCTGGTTTGTCCTGGGGTAGCTCGCTCCCCTGGCTAGAGACAGCATCTTTCTCTCCTCCTTCCACTGAGATAGGTTGATGCCATCACTTCCAAAAACATCGAGTGACGGCACCTGGCTGCGGATGGGACAGCCTGTGCCTGTGAGAGTAAGGGAGGGGCCTCACTTTAGTTTATATTTGACCCATGTAGGAAAACACAAAGAAAAAATCCTTATTTTTTTTCGCTTTCTTCCTGTAAGGCACCACACCCCCAGTTATTGACAGGGTAATTATACACCAGGCAAGTGTTTGTTTATAAAAGAAGTGTGATTCACGGCTGCCAGGCCTGCCCA